TGGGATGGAACCCGCCATGCATGGTAAGGAGCTTTCGAGTTTTAACATCCGTGGTCTGAATCTCTTCCTTTGGCCACCTGATTATTCCTGCAGGGTATCTGATCACTGGCAGGGCGTAGCTGTTAATTGCCCGGGCCTTGTTCTTGCCATTGAGCCGGCTTCTTAGGACCTGCCTTACTCGCTGGAGGTATTTGGCAGTTGCCGCTTTCCTCGTCACCTGTTCGAGGTTGCCATTTGCCTGTGGTATACCGAGATACTTGTAACTGTCCTCAACGTCTGCTATTGTTCCCTCTGGGAGTGAGATCCCTTCTGTGTGGACTACCTTGCCTCTCCGAGTCACCATCCTGCTACATTTCTCGAGCCCGAATGACATCCCGATGTCATGGCTGTAGATCCTGGTTGTTTGGATCAGAGAGTCGATGTCTCTCTCGCTCTTGGCGTACAGCTTGATGTCATCCATGTAGAGGAGGTGACTGATCTTTGCTCCTCCTGAGGCGGTATCCATAGCCAGTCTGGTCAATTACTTGGCTTAGAGGGTTGAGGCCTATGCAGAACAGTAGTGGGGACAGAGCATCTCCTTGGTAGATACCACATTTGATGGTCACTTGTGCGAGCGGCTTGCCATTTGCCTCAAGGGTGGTCTTCCACATTCCCATCGAGTTTGCAACAAAGTCCCTTAGAGCCCTGTTGATATTGTACAACTTCAAGCATTCCATGATCCATGTGTGTGGCATTGAGTCGTAGGCTTTCTGGTAATCAATCCAGGCTGCGCCCATATATATATATATATATATATATATATATATATATATATATATATATATATATATATATATATATATATATATCGCATCTAGGAACAGCAAAGATACTGCGCAGAACCCTCAAGCTCCCTGGCCTCTGGTAGAGGACCCGAGCTTAGAGAGGGATAACCGCCCGCGGAGGGCCAAAGGTGAGTGGACATTTTTTTTTTTTTTTTATACACACATACATACACACATATATACACATATATATATATATATATATATATATATATATATATATATATATACACACATACATACACACATATATATACATATACATACATACATACATATATACCATACACATATACATATTTTTTATTATTATTATTATTTATTTATTTTAACTGTCATATCTTCAATTAGAATGTTGTCCTGAGGGTGGCACGGTGGCTGAGTGGATAGCACTCACTGGAACAGGGTCTTTCTGAGTGGACTTTGCATGTTCTCCCCGTGTCTGCGTAGGTTTCCTCCGGGTGCTCCGGTTTCCCCTACCACTAAAAACATGCACAATAGGTCTGAATGTAAATGAGAGAGTGAATGGATGGTGTTGGAGCTGATGGTCCAGTGTGTTCTGGACTCGCTTCTGTCATCACCGTGTGTGGAAGGATTGGAACAATATCTGACTCTGAACATTGGAAAGTGCTTTGGGTCTGTACCTTGGTCTGTAAAATGTGCTATATGAATAAATATTACTGATTTGAATGCCTTGTACAGTATAATTGTTGTTTTTGTTAAGCAGTTTGAGTTGCCTTGTGTGTAAGCTGTGCTGTATACAGTAAATGAACGTGCCTTGCTTTAATAGATAGACATATAGGCATTTACAGGCCAAGAAATCTTCCGAGATGAATCATGTGTTTTGATTATAATAAAATACATATATGTGACTTTATACAGAATAAAAGAAAATAAAACGTTTTTGGAAGATCCATCCATCCATCCATCCATCCATTTTCTTCCGCTTCATCCGTTGCCGGGTCGCGGGGGCAGCAGTCTAAGCAGAGACGCCCAGACTTCCCTATCCACGCACACTTCCTCCAGCTCGTCCGGGGGGACCCCAAAGAGTTCCCAGGCCAGCTGAGAGACATAGTCCCTCCAGCGTGTCCTGGGTCTTCCCCGGGGCCTCCTCCCGGTGGGACGTGCCCGGAACACCTCCCCAGGGAGGCGTCCAGGAGGCATCCGGAACAGATGCCCGAGCCACCTCAACTGGTTCCTCTCGACGTGGAGTAGCAGCGGTTCTACTCCGAGCTCCTCCCGTGTGACTGAGCTCCTCACCCTATCTCTAAGGGAGCAGCCACTCTGCGGAGGAAGCTCATTTCGACCGCTTGTATCCGCGATCTTGTTCTTTCGGTCACTACCCAAAGCTCATGACCATAGGTGAGGGAGGGAACGAAGATTGACCGGTAAATCGAGAGCTTTGCCTTTCGGCTCAACTCCCTCTTCACCACGACGGTCCGATACAGCTCTGACTGCAGACGCTGCTCCCTCTTTACCACAACGGTCCGATACAGCGACCGCATCACTGCGCACGCTGCACCGATCCGCCTTCAATCTCACGCTCCATCCTTCCCTCACTCGTGAACAAGACCCCGAGATACTTGAACTCCTCCACTTGAGGAAGGACCTCTCCACCCACCTGCAGAGGGCAAGGCACCTTTTTCCGGTCAAGCACCATGGCCTCAGATTTGGAGGTGCTGAGATGTGTCAGAAAATAAGTAAAAAACTCAGTGGATAAAAAAAATAAAAAAACGTTGCAACTTTTTTGAGTGATGGGAATCAGACTTTGTAATTGCTCATGTAGGAATAAAAGTTGAATCTGAAACCAGACGCACCTCAAAACTCAACAGCGTTTTCCACAGTCTTTTCCATTTTTACTTCCATGATTCAAAGTGTGTTCCTTGTCGATAGAAATGATCTCTGTAGGACATGAATTTGTCCTGTCGTCAGAGCAGCGCTGCGGAGTCTTCACTAAAGGTCATATTTGATGCACATGAAGTGTAAAAATGTCACTGTGAATGTATTTGTTTAGGAGAGGTGTAATCGGAGTTCAGAGCCTGGTAAAAGCCGCTGTAAATGTTTTAGTGCCAAATCCAACACGGTCACCATTTACGTAACTTTATGGATTCATAAAAGTAATTCTTGGTATATTGGTGTGGAAAACCCTGATATGGTTTGAACAAAAGGCCACATGTGAAAGCGCCGGGTCTCCAAGATGGCGGTCCACTTAAGCCAGTGCTCATTTATGCTCCAATGTTTTGCTTTTTTATAAATAGCGCTTTTCGGACACTCAAAGACGCTTCACACGGCCCTATTCTTTCACTTCATACATGATGATACGTTACTCATGCAGCACAGGGCTTTTTACCCTGCAGGGAAAAAACGAGAGACGTTTATGACAACAAAGGTGTTTCGATTATCCACAAAATCTCTGTCGGTGACCAATCAGCAGTGCACAAGTATCTCAGTGAACATTATGGTCCATGGACACATTTCTTGTTTTCTTGTGTATGGAAAAGGCAGTAGAAAGAGAAAGATGCTTGAACATTCTACAGTCAAAGGGTTATGCGGATGATAACACAAGTTGACAGCCAAAAAATGGTCAGATTGGTCTGATTCCGACTAATGTTGGTGTTCTGAGTCTGAATATCTCATGCATGTTGCTCTATCTTCTTCTTCTTCTTCTTTGTGTCCTTGGGCAAGACACTTAACCCCACTTTGCCCAAAGCCCCCACTGAAAGATCAAGGCTATGCTCACACTCAGAGAGCAGCCGTCCTCCTGTGGACTCACCACCTGCAGAGGGTCAGTGAGGGGCTGGTGCTATGAGACTTGGGTGGCATCTCTGACTGCCACCCCCCTGACCCAGAAATGGATTAAAGGGAAGAAAATGGATGGATGGATGGATGTTGCTCTATCAGGTCAACTTTATGAGATACAGCCACAGTGTTACGGATTATGTACGTCTACGTTATTATGAATTCTGCTTATCAAATTTGATGGAGTAAATAAAAACTGAATGACTTTGGATACGTTGACTTTTATTTCTTGAGGAAAACGGAAAAAACGTCAAGGGTTTCTCAGCTGATGATCCGCAGAAATTATTTTTTTACGCAAAATATTTAAAAAAATATTTCTGTAGCAAAAAATCCTGACCTGATTGAGCAAAACCAAGGTCATTTTCAGACTCAGAGCATCAACATTAGTCTAATTCAGCTGAAAACCCTGGACTATTTTCAAAACATATTTTTTGTTACCCAGTGTAATGGTTGCATCCAGTAATACATTTTCATAAAACCTTATTTTGATAGTTCCAAATTGACACAGACGCAGAAGTATCTCTCTGTTGTACGGTTATTTTTGCTCTTAATCAGCTTGTTTGTTTTTTAATTCCACAATCCTTATCATTCCATGTATTGTTTGTACTTTCCGCACATAAACATGAAACTTTACCATAAAGAATCTTGTTTCCCTCTATACTTAACTACTTAAGCACATAGTTAATATACATATGCATTTAATACGACTACTGCGATACTGCAAATGGAATTATGAAAACATTCCTTATCTGCTCTTTACAAAACACAATAAGATTAGAGTAAACATACTTTTTCCCTGATAATGTGATGCTGGCTTCTACTCTGACAATGTTCGAATCCAGGTTAAAAGAGTTTTGTTAAGCTGTGCATGGGATAGTAAGGGTTAGGGTTCCTCTTTGTTATGTACTGTGATTATGATTTTACGCCTTGTATAATTGTTTCTATCTTGTTTTTTTCAGCGCTTTGAGTAGCCTTATGTGTGAACTGTGCGATACAAATTAAACTTTACCGTAAAGAAACCATATATTTGTCTCATTTTATATTTTCTTAAGGGTAACTCTCTACACTGTTCACACCACTTAACCCTTGTTCACATAGTTAGAATATTAAAATATGAAATGGCACGCGGCCTGTATAGCCTCCCCATGCCGAGCTGCGAGCTGAAGGTGATAATAATTCTTTGGAACAGGTGCCGCACCACGAGCCCCAAGGCCGGGTTGGAAGTGAATGATTAGTGGCACTCGCCTTCAAGATGCATGACTCTCCTGTATTAAAACCAAACTCTGCTTTTCTTTATTCCCTGCAGGCTTTGTTATTAAGTGGGCCGGGGGTTGCCATAGCGACGCGTTGGCAGGATATTGCCGGGGATCAGCCGTAATGGGTCTCTGGACGCAGCTCACTCTGCTCCTGTGGAAGAACTTCACTCTGCGGAGGAGACAGAAGGTACGAAATCGCCGGCCAGTCAGAGGCACGCACGTCCGAGGGAAAATTGGTCTCGCGAAATGAGGCTGCGTGGTCCCTATGTGGCCTTATCAAGGGCAACTTAAGTTATTCATGGGAGGGAAGGGTAGGGATGTACTCCGAAAAGGCCCGTCTGTAGATGTAAGCTGCCTCTAAGACTCCCACTAGACAAAGGGACCAATCTGAGCCTAATGCAGACCAATTCAAAATGTCACCTCCAATTTCTGCAGATCTGCCTCTTGTGTGTGTGTCACATAGCCAGGATTTTGCTTCTAACAAAGCGAGCTCTCTGACTAATAAAAGCAGAGACAGAGGGAGAAGCTTTCTGTTTTATTTTATCTTATCCACAAAAACGTTTTGGCACAACATTATCAACCTAAAATCAGATCTCATTTTACTGTCTAAAGTTCATAGATTTTGCCCTTTCTCCTGCAATATGCGCATTCTGATTATGCATTCCATTTGTGTGTCTGTCATAGAGTTTTTATTTTGTTATCATTACATTAGCTGTTACTTGATAATAAATAATAATGCATCGGTTTTATATTGCGCTTATTGAAACACGCTTCTCATGAAGTGTGCCATGGGTCCTTCCGATCACCACCAACCAGTCACACAAACATCATTCTAGGTAATGTGGGTGCCTGATCCAGACCATGCCCTTCTTCTAACGGGATCTGGTTTTCACACACAGGTGGCGCCATTTCAGATTTGTCTGAGAATAAAACGTGTGATATTTAAGTCTGCAACCTCTTGAGTCCCTTTCCAACACATCTGCTCTGGGACATTACTATCATTTTCTCCACCGTGACAATAATCGGGGACAAGGCTGTTTGTCTTGATCTTGCTGCAGGTTTCCGTTGCTCTGAGTGAGAGGTAATAGTCACACCCTGTGCTGACAGCAGGCCAGCAGCAGCGCTCAGTCACACAGTCAATGGCACTTTGTGAGCGATTGTGAATCTCCTCCGTGTTCTTGATTGTGAAATGACGGGGCTGAAATGCACTTCCTGTTGGGATCAGCTCAGCACGTCACTGCGGACTAAGAACAGTGGATAAAGGCAATAGGATAGGCTAGGATATGCTTTTAATGTTACTTTTTTTTTAAGCTCGATTTTTTACATAGGCCTCCCTCTGTCCTGGAACAATTTATTTTCAAAGAAGTCACAAAATTAGCGAGTGGTCAGTTACGGCCGGGTTGTTACACACATAGACCGGGTGTGTCCCTGTAAATTGATGTGAATAAAGAAATACTCCTTATATCTGTTTTATCCGGGCTGGTGCTATGTGACTTGGGTGGCATCTCTGACTGCCAACCCCCCCCCCCCCGACCCAGAAATGGATTAAGGGGAAGAAATTGGATGGATGGATGGATATAATGTCTCTATAATATCAGGCACGTTTTGGTTCTGTTGCCTCTCGCATGCTTCAGTTTTTAGAAATAAATATTTACAACAGATAGATACTTTATTGACCCCCTGTAGGAGAATTTCAGGTGTCCAGCAGCAGAAACAAATCCATACAAACACATAAGTACATATTGTAAATTATACATTGCACACTATACTTTTGAGAGTTTTTATTAGTTTATGAACAACATTGATTGGATCCCAGGCGTAACCTAGGGACAGGAAGTGATGTCTCCAAGATATCATATTTGCTGAGCATGAAAAGGGTATTCCAGTGGTCTCCCATTAAATAACTAACCAGGCTCAGTGTCTGAGTCGTGACCAGATCTGGCTTTGACTAGTGAATGTTTCTGCATAATTTAGATATATACTATACTATATCACAAAACATGACATAATATGTTGGGGTTAAATGTCTCTCAGAAATGCTGTAATTTTCCAAACGGGATTGTGTGAAATGTTGATGTTACTTTTATCAGTTTAAAACGCTGCAATTAGACCAAACAGTGAGAGTAGGACAAGGACGATTGTAGTTGTGGAGGGCTCATGGAGGTTAATGACCAATTATACGAATGCTCCACCAAGCATTTTAACATTTTATAACAGGCATGAAGCAGATTTTATGGTCCAGTATTTCCCATAATTTCACAGGAGGAGATGATATGCTCACAAAGACGCCTCTGTCCAATGGCAAATGCCTGGGGAGCCAGACACTGAGCCAGTCCCCCGATGTGTCTTCCTCCTCTCATTCCTTTTCATTGGAATACATTATGATAATACAGCTCTCAGCGGAGCAACGTTCTCTTTGACAAATGCACTGGAGAAGTTTCAAAAATTATTCAAATTCCTATAGGTTCTTTGAAATATGTTGTGTGATTTTAGCAATTTACACCTCACTGACTGAATAATCAGATTATATGGCTGGGAGAAAGGGTGTACGTCCTTCCCCAATCCTGTCCTCTATCTATATCGTAAAGCACCTAAACAGTCTCTCTAAAAATTTTAATATTGTCCATTTACTTCTGTATTTCAACTACAATGTGAAACTAATATATTCAAGAGTAAAGAATTTATTTGGGATTTGCAGTAAAACCACATTGGAAAAACCGTGCAAGACTACCCCACTGTGCACCAGACACAGAAGACGCTACACCCCAGAGCTTTTGACACATACATTTCCATATATGACTTATTATGTGTACACTGAGCAATATAAATGTTGATAATTGACTCACATCTTGTAAAAAACCCTGAATAAAATGGATCTGACATAATAACACCAAAAATTAAAATATATCGAGGCTTGGGACATGTCATTTTGCATGTAGCATTTTGCAAGAAGGCCCTGAATACGACTCCACCTTAAGACGTTTCTTTGTGGAGTTTGCATGTTCTCTCTGTGTCCCCCCCCCCCCCCCCCTCTCTGGGCCAGGACTCCTCTGAAAAAGGGATTCTGAAATCTCAGTGGAACTCTCCTGATTAAATACTGTAAAAGTCCATAAATGCGTATCATAGATTAGTTTAAAATTTTAAGTTAAATACAAAAATTAAATCTAATTGAGTTTCACCTTCACAACAAACGCATTACACATTGAAAATAGTCAAATAAATAAATGAAAGCTGTACAAGATTTCTCATTTCTTCTCTGCATATGTAGTTAGCTGCTAATGTTTACAAAGACACTGTTAAATTGTGAGCAGATAATGGATTCGTAATCATTTCCTGCTTGTTAATCAGCCGCTCTCCTCAAGATGTGACTTAGAACAAAGAATTCCGAACGGCGCACCGGGTTAGTCGAGGTTAGTCACAAGGGCTGTGAGGTCGTGCAGAAAGTCAGTCAAAGAACGGCCCTCGCATTGTTATAACTCATTAAAAGTCATCCTCAAGAAATCCTCCTTAAAAACAAGTGAAATGAAAAGCTTAATCAGGTTTGCTTGAATGATCCGTTAGTTTAATGTCAACCACCGACTGACTTTAAAGACCTTATGCCGGGTTTGATTTATTTAGAAATAGAGTTTTAATACCATTTTATATTAGAAGAGAACTACTAAAGGTTTCAATATCAGTTGTTTTTTTTGTCTGATCCCCCCAAATCGAAATAACCCCATAGCAACGCCCTTAGAGACGAAAAAACTTCACAGCCCTTGGTGACGTCAGAGTGGGTACGTTTCAACGCTGTAAGTTGTTTACAATTTGGTATTCGTTCTTTTTTCGCGGATATTCAAGATGACAAGGCCGTGTACAGCGACTCTGACATAAATACTAGAATGTCACATTTCTCTGTCACTGAGATAGTCCAGTGGTTGTGTCGATGGACTGCCAATCCATATACTTGGGTTCAAATCCCGCCTCGGACACTTTTTCTCAAAACGGCAATTTATGTGTAGTGAGCAATTGTCACCTGTAGAGGGCAGTATTGTGTTGGGCATCAGTGGAGAGAAGAGAGAAAAGGCAGTCCTGTGGCATAGATCCATGGTTTTCAATGCATGGGCGTTACCCGCTATGACGTCACACACAGGTTAGAGCATAGACAACTTAAATTCATGAAAAACACGTTCTTTTTATAAAATATAGGATTTTTTTGCCGGAATCTCTTTCAAATTGACATTGTCATGCAATTTTGATATCCACTATTTTTTTTTTTTAAAACCCGTCATAAGGTCTTTAATTAGCACTATGGAGATTTCACAATTATTATTATTTTCTTTAATCAATAATTACATAATACAATAACATAATACATGGATATGCAGTGCGACTATCAAATATATTATAAGAAAGAAGTATTTATGGAAGCTTCACAACTCTGCATGAGACTTCGGGGAACTTTGTAGATAAGCTAATCCTAAAAACTCAAGTTCCAATATGTCGGATATTTACGACCGTCGGCTCAAAAGTATCCGTGACCCAGTGATGTCTGCTGAGCTGCTTTCACACGTGCTTTCTATCTGGACACATTCCAATCCAGACATATTCTCCTTTTCCATTCACCATGTGCTGCAAGATGTACAGTATTCTCGTGGTACATGGTTCTAGCGTGTCCGGCTAAGCACGTATAATAAACAGACTTTACTTTGTTGAGCTTTTAATCATGTTTTTAGCATTGTTCCTGATCAAAAAATATCTGGTTCCTGAAAATATTCATTCTCAGGAACTTCTACCACAAACATTTAACTCTGTGGGTTCAATTCCACCTCCAGAACCTTTCTCTGGGGAGTTTGCATGTTCTTCCTGGCTCTGCGTAGGTTTCCTCCAGGTGCTCCGGTTTCCCCCAGCACTAAAACATGTACAGTAGTGAGTGAGTGTGACTGTGCGATAAGAGACATATCTACAATCTGGTTTATGTGCATCTCTTGCTGTTCATGGATACGCACTGTCCCATTCAAATATGGGCGGCACGGTGGCTGAGTGGATAGCACTCTTGCCTCTCAGCAAGAAGGTCCTGGGTTCGAATCCCGGTTGGACCAGGGCCTTTCTGAGTGGAGTTTGTATGTTCTCTCCGTGTCTGCGTAGGTTTCCTCCGGGTGCTCCGGTTTCCCCTACCACTAAAAATATGTACAATAGGTCTGGCATGTGCCTCCTGTACTGGCACCCCTGCTCCCAAAAATAACAATTGTAAACCGCTTTGAGACTCCGATGTGCAGTGAAAAGGCGGTATATAAATAAAGAAAGATAAAGATTAAAGAAATAAACCAACAATTTACCCTTGGTTCTTATTTCACCTTATATTTTTAATGTCTAATATTTCTTCTCTCACCGGGGAAGTCACAAAACAGAACGGTAAATAATCTATTCTTATAAAAGCATGATTTGCGCACAGCCTATAGGAACCACACACATAACTGCATGCAAAGAAATGCTAAATTATTTGTGCCGTGCAAGGAAGGGAAACAAATAAAAACATCCAAGTTTCTTGAATATTGCTTAAGGCCTGCAGCGGGGAAAAGGAAGAAAAAAACGTAGCAACCAAAGAAAGCTTTGAGGCACCCATTCAAATCTCCGAGCACTCTATTCCCCGCGGTTCAACTGAAGAGAAGCCTGCTGTGTCGAGCGGGACGGAGGCTCGCATTATACCAGCGCCGCCGCCACAAAAGCAGGGCCACGTCACATCGGTAACACTCGGAGGAACCACTTCTGTTGTTTGAACTCCACGTACGTGTGTTCCTACAGCGCTGAACATGTTTGAGTGTAGTCACATCCACACGCTCTGAAGTCCAGGACAGGTTTAGATCTATCCATCCATCCATTTTCTTCCACTTCATCCGTTGCCGGGTCCCGAAAGTTTTAGGTAAGATTAGTTTTAAGATCCACATTCCTTATCGGAAAAGTAAAACTAAAGGTACATGTTTTTTCATGGGTGATTATAATAACCTTTCAGGCAGAGAAGATGGGTTTGAATCCTGGTTCGAGCTGGGAATGTCTGAGATGGGTTTGCATGTTCTCATGTCTGTGTAGGTTTTCTCCAGGTGCTCCGGTATCCCCTACCTCAATGCAATAAGAAGAATAAGTCAAACATTGCTCAAAATCGGCAAAATGTATCTTAGTTTGAGCTCACTTTCTCTAGCCTGGCTCTGCCAGACCCTTGTAGTTCCGCCATGCTCCACCAGAGGCGTTTGGCTGAACCACATGGGTCTGGTATCGACGCCATAGCAAACGCCTTCCCCAGATTATTTTTTAATCGACCAATCAGGATTGCCGGTGTTACGTGGGGTTTATAGAGTAACGTAGGGTTAAAAGAGTAAATACGATCGAATTAAGACACAGAGGTCACTTTTAATGCAATTTGAGGGGAGATGTTGATGGTTCTATGTTGATATATGTGTGTTTTAAGAGTCAAATGTTCCTGTAAAGTTTGGTTGAAGCACTGGTTCAGTGTTCCTGTTTACACACTATGCAGCAGGGTTGCCAGGTTTGGTGGTTCTCGTATATTTTTTTCCAAGAGACTTGTAGGTATTAAATAAACAGAAAGACAATAAACAGAATCATGATAGCCCAAGTTGATTACATTACGTTTTTAGCCAAAAAATCATTCTGAGTGTTTTTTTTTTTTTGGGTATTCTCGCGGATTTTGGGTTGGAACATCTTGCTGGGATTTGGCAACCTATGGGAGCATTCATTCAAGATAACGGACAAGTGGTCTATCCAATCACATACAAGGATTTTTTGAAAATCCCCTTTCAAAAAATCCCTTCTGAAATCCAACCACTATGGCTCAGTACCAGACACATGTGTGAAGTGCAGCGAACTACATGGCTTTGGCGAGAGTCAGGCTACATTTTCTCTGCCTTAAAACAAGATTTGGGGGGGCGACAGTGGCTCAGTTGGTAGAGCACTGGCCTTTGAGCCTGAAGGTCGTGGGTCCTTGGGCAAGACACTTAACCCCACTTTGCCTGAAGCTCCCACTGAAAGATCTCAGCTCCTGTGGACTCAGCACCTGCAGGAGGATCAGTGAGGGGCTGGTGCTCTGTGGACTGGGTGCAGCTCTGACTGCCACCCCCCGACCCAGAAATGGATTAAGGGGAAGAAAATGGATGGATGGATAAAACAAGATTTGCCAATGGAACAAACAAAATTATCTTGTTTTAAAAATATACAAGAAATATCTCCTTTGGAATGAGAAAATAGAGCAACAGTTCTTAAAATAAGACTAAATGGATTCGTCCCATTGGCTAATCTTTTTTTAAGACGTTTAAAGTGCCCAAATTGAGATAAAAACCACTTCAAGCTATTATCAGTTTTTGAAGTGCACTAAAAATATGTGCCATTCAAACTATCCCTTTAATTGCCAAAGAATAGTTGAATTTCTACATGAGCCGTGTAGAAATCCAGGACTCTTCATAAACAGCGATCAGACTTCCCACAAACAAGTCCCTACATTTTTCTTGCTACCTTTTCAATTATATATTTCTGTTAATGTACTGTAAGTAGTCCCATATCTCTGTCAGGCCAAGTTTCAGGCTGACACACTACATTTCTGCAAAAACTCTGGCACCTAAAGGGTTAAAAGTTATAAGTTATAAGTATTAGAACTTTTTAAAGATCCTTCAAAACAAGAATCTATCATGCGAGCGACTGGAACAAGATTATATAAGATTTAAAATACCTTTAATTATTCTACAATTCTATGATGGAGTTAGTATTCGCTTTAACTACCGAATTTTAATGATACGTTTCATGTTTTTGTGTATTTTCAGTTGCGGTTTTTAATCGAACTGGTCTGGCCAATCGTCCTTTTCGTCATCCTGGTGCTGGTGCGTTCCTCTAACAAAGCCATCAACAAAGACCAATGTAAGTCGTGGAATACAGAAATCACAGCCGTTTGCACATATAACATAATAACGATTCTTTTTGGGGGCTTGCTCGTACATTTTTCCTTCAGGCCACTACCCGAACAAGCCCATGCCTTCAGCCGGAGTGTTGCCATGGATTCAGGGGATGGTGTGCAACTTAGAAAATCCCTGTTTGAACTCGCCAACACCGGGGGAGGCTCCAGGGCAGGTCAACAACTTCAATGACTCAATGTGAGCCTTAGTTGTCGGCTATAAAACACAGTGTATTTCAAAAAGTGACAACAAATACTTATTTTTCTTTGTTGTGTTGTAGAATCGCTGGCGTCCTCATCCAAATGCAGAGTCTTTTGGTGAACAAGTCAATCCTGAGTAAGGTCAAAGTTCTTGCTGGGGACTTGAACCAGTGGAATGTGCTGTTGACACGAGCTGCTTCTAACAACAGTAAGATTAAACAGATCAGAAGTATTTACCGCCTTTTTGTGTCCGATAGAAACAGTTACATTTAAAGCAGCAGTATGTAATATTTTCATGTCAAGTCATCATTAAATGGCCCCAATATTTCAAAAGGTATTATTAAATCATGCTCATTTTTGGAATACATCTTTAACTGATAGCAGTAGTTCAGAGATATTTGAACTACTGCTAGCACACCAGAGTTTCGAGTTCGAGAAATGTCTGTTTGTTTTTAATTGCATAATATCACGTTTTATGACAGATTGCTCAAAATCAGGTAAAAGACAATAATCAAGACGTTTTTTTGCAGATTATAGCTTATTTGTAAAAATAATCATTTGAGACCACATGTACCCAATTAATATAATGTTAGTCTCTTTTTGATGTGGGACTTATACACGTATGTCTAAAAAATCGGGAATAAAAAAAATCGAAGGGTACATCCTGTGGAGCAAACCCTGATGTTGATACGCTGAAGAAATATGTTCCAACATCCATTTCTCCCACTCCTTTTTTGGACATCAATTGCTTATTTATTTTGCATAATCTATAATTACATTGCTTTTATTTAGTTTGTTCCATCTCAAATGTCCAAATAAAAAAAATAAAAAAATATCCGTTCAAAACATTCATTCAACAGGAGAGACAGACAAACAACTTATAAAATAATTCCCTGTCTTTGCTGCTGGATTTGGTGTGTATCTGGCAACCTGAGTCAGGGAGAGTGGGAGAGGACTGCAAAATATTGGCTGTGACTGCAATGTTTACATACTGCTCCTTTAAGATTCCATATGTTTTCCTTATGGTAGAGAAGGTGACTGTGATTCTGATTATATATGCAGTTACGATACTACCAAAAGTTAGGAGAATGGAAAAAAAAAACCTTTTCTCAATGCTGGAAAATATTTCTTATGCATTTGAATCATCCTGCAACGCCACCTGTACTGAGCAGTGATCCCCCCAGTGTAGCGACAGGTGTTGGTCTCCCGGTGTTGATGCTGTTGGACATGAGCCGAGCTGGATGATTTTATTTTGGGTGGTGGGTGAGACACATGAAAACTCCACACACTGTTAGTCAGAAAAATAGAAAGAGCACTTGGGGTTATTATAGACACATCATGCTTTTCCCCCATATTGCATTTACTGCATTCATTATGACTATTATTACCTTTGCCAAGTAGGTAAAGTGTATGTGTCTGTCTTGTTTGATTGGGAGCGATTCCAGTCTGAATGCAGGATTTCTTTAAAGGAACTGAATGGTGCATCTCAGAGTTTTCCAGTTATATTTGCTTTATATTTTCAACATTGACTTTGGACAGATATGTCTGAAGCTCCATCCACACTGCTGGGTCCAAAACGCACAGACACCAAGCCATTTTAAAATAGACACAAGCACAAATCCAGGTCTTACTCACTCCCGACCAAAGTCTGAAAAATATAGAGGCAACCGATCCTTCACTATTCTTCCGGACTGTGTGCTCTCTAATCCACCTAAAATCCATCTTTCTTAAACTCTAGAATATACTGTACGCTGTGCTGTGTTGCTGAAGAAGTCCAAACTCTCTTGCGATTTTTGGGTTGTTAGCTGCAATATTTATGTTTTTGTCACCAAATTCAAATGCATCTAACGACTAATCTACTAAAATTGACACATAGTCTGGACTTGCTCACCTACACTATAGATCTAGAACTATCTACACAAGGCAAAGGCTCAAATAATAACACAACATCCTTCTTTTTCACTGAAGGAAGTTATATAGATCTTGCAATGATTCAGAATGTGATTTTTTACAGAAAGGTCGAAGCTATATCACACATTTAACTTCTACGGGTGCCAGGAGTACCTAAAGTAGAAGATAAAGCAGAAGGACAACCACCTCGTAAAGGAAACAGGAGGAATCAGTTGTCACATCCGTTCTGACTCATGCTGCAGCATTAATTGTCGAAGAAAACGCGGCGCTATTATGCTAATAGTCTCTTTGCTATGTCTTTGTTAAGTGCTCTCCATCAACAAAAGTATCCCCTTCACGCTGATGACAAGTCGGAGGATTTGTTATTCCCCTTTATTTCTCAAAAACAATGACGCGAGATTATTTACGATGCAATTTGCCTTTGGGACTGACAGATCGTTTGTCTTGATAAGCTGCTTCTTTGCATTAGGCTCATTTAGTTTGATGATATTCAGATTTTCATACGGAGTTTAATTTGCAAAGTAGCAGAAAGGGAGGGGTTGGGCCGGTGATTGGTCGGCACGGCGCTTGCTGGACGGTTCATTTGCATTTTCGGGGTCGCCAGCTTCTAATATACAAGATTAAATCCATCAAAGATCAAAGCCTGGACATAATTAATGGTATTTTCCGTCTGTGGCTGGAAGTGTAAAGGTCACGCGGAGATTACGGAGTGGACTGGCTACCAGAAGACGAGGCGTGATTGTCGCGGCCTCTTTTGTTTTCACCAGGTTGATTAAAAGTCTAGGGTGGTCACTTCACTTCAGAAAACACACCCCCCGACAATCCAGCCTTCAAAAGAACCACAATAATAACACATGTTTGATTAAAAGGTAGGCACGGCAGTATCACACAGCAGCGTAATTAATTCCTGGCTATGCATGTTATTCATCTTCCCCGTGAATAACTTAAGTCGACTTCCACGTCCTAATAATGGACTGATTTCCATTTATTACATCTGCAAATGGCTAATCTAATTAAACAACGCCTCAATCTGCGGCACTACATCGGAGAGGGGCCGCGGTTCGTGAACACACTTGAAGACGGACCTCAGCAGAAGCCATTGTTCTACTACACAAGGAGGCAATGAAAAGTCAATTAGATTACTCTCCAAACGGTCTCTGTATGGATGGATAATGGTGAAGAGGCTGTAGAATGTTGCGTCACATAGTATTAACCCTTTAACATTCACTCCTTGAAGAAAGCAACGTAATTTTTTCTCTTTTGGATTTACTAAGATGTAGGAGCATTAAAATGGTGGTGCAGACGGCTCCTCGGATGACGCTTTTTCAGCTGGTTGCATCTGAACCCTGCCAAGTCTCTCATCATGGTTTTACTGTTTTACTGGTGTGTGTGTGTGTGTGTGTGTGTGTGTGTGTGTGTGTGTGTGTGTGTGTGTGCACTTGTTTTCAACTCCTGGTGGGTTCCATAACCTGAGATTCCACTCACGTCATGGGGACTGGTTTTACGTGGTGGGGCCCGAACACCGGACCCCACTGGTCCAAGCTTAATAATCAATGGGTAATGCTTTTCTAACGGTCCTTATGCAGTCTCTGTAAAAATATGGAAAGGACCCCTGGAGGTTTACTTTCCTGAAAAAAGTGTGTTATGTGTCGGAACCCTGGTGGTGGGTTGCGGGATATCAAGGAGGGGCACACTGGGGCAATTTCAGTCCAGCAGGCTGGAGCCAATCATGGAGCAGCACAACAGAGGAAATCAGGTGTCAGGCTAGAAAAAGGTGCAAGTGTGTGGTTCATTAGGCTGCAAGAAATCATGGAGGAGCACACTGAAGCGCACGCTTACAAACCACTGGTAAGTGCTGACTACAAGTCATGACTTCAAATTGTTATATAGAATGATTACAAATTATTTGTTGTTTGTGCAGCTTAGTCAAGAGTCCCTAATTGATGAAGTCGACTCAGATTCTGACGATTTAACTGTCAAGAAGAAACCTGTAAAAAAGTATGGAAAAAGAAAAATCAAAAACACTTTTCTTCAAGACTCGGAAAGTGACGAACCAAAGGCAAATAAGATTGTTATCATGCAGCTGCAAAAGAAGAAAAATGGGGGGCGAGTATACAGCAAGAGACACTTCTGCCTCTACTGTTCAATGTCCTGCCACAAAATGTCCCGTCATTTGACTAGAAAACATGGAAATGAAAGTGACGTAGCCAGAGCATTGGCTCTACCTGTGAAATCTAAAGCACGTAAACTTCAGTTTGATTTGATCAGGAATAGTGGAAACCGTGAGCACAATTTTGAGGTTTTAAAGGCCGGCATTGGAACTTTAGTCCCAGCTAAACAGCCAAATTGCCCAGTTAAATCCAGTGAGTTTTTGCACTGTATAGACTGTGGGGCATTGCTTAAGCGAAAGTCGCTGTGGAGGCATGTGGCCAGGTGCCGGCTTTCACAGAAAGATGCCCAGGCTAAACCAGGTAGAAGTAGGGTCCAGTCCCTCTGCTCCCTAGCCCAGCCTGTACCGGAGGGCATCAGCAAAAAGCTGTGGTCTTTAATTTCGGCAATGCATCAGGATGAGGTCACGGGTGTTGTCAAAGCAGAAAAGGGGATTCTGAGACTCGGAGAGCACCTGTACTTAAAACACGGGCATGATAAGACAAAGCATGATTACATTAGGCAGAAAATGAGAGAAGTCGGTAGGTTAATTAACGAAGCAAAAACCGCAGGGAAACTGAAAACAATTAAGGATTTCTTTTTCTTCCAGTGATTGATGCAGTCAGGTTGTGGCTGGATATGATGAGGAAACAAATCAATACAAGACTCATCCTTGGCCCTCAAACTCGGCCATAGCCGAAAGCTAGCAGATTTTTGAGACTCAAAAATGGAGCATTGTGTTGATGAACTATTTATTAAAAACTCCAACGAAGCCGGCTGCTTTTTGAGAAGAGGTGGGACGTCTGTGTTTCTTCTGCTGCCCTACAGACCCTCCGGCAAGCCAAGTGGAACACTCCGGACCTGCTCCCTCTGACTGAGGACGTTAGAGCCATGCATGCACATATTGAGGTATGTCGACCTGAATATGTGCAAACCCTAATAAGTGAGCCAACGTCTAAGCATTGGTCTAAACTGGCAGTTTTGACTCTTTGTGAGGTCATCATTTTCAATCGAAGAAGGGAAGGTGAGGTTTCAAAGATGCCACTGACAGCCTTTACCTTAAGAAGTAAGACTGGGATCCATTCTGACATTGCTCTGGGACTGTCCCAACTTGAGAAAAAGCTGTGTCAGCATTTTCAACGCATTGAAATTAAAGGGAAAAGAAGTCGGAAAGTGCCGGTTCTTTTGACTCCTGAAATGATTGCTTCGATGGAGGTGCTGGTGGAGAACAGAAGGGCCTGTTCCATCTCTGACCATAACCCATACTTCTTTTCCCGCCCGGGCGCAGACACCCACATCAGGGGATCAGACTCCCTACGCCAGGTAGCCAAAGAATGTGGTGCGGTGCATCCAGAGATGCTATCCTCAACCAAACTTAGAAAGCACATAGCTACTATGTCTACAGTTCTCAATATGAAAGAGAATGAGATGGACATACTTGCCAACTTCCTCGGCCATGACATTCGCATCCACAGGCAATATTACAGACTACCAGAGGGGACACTGGAGCTGGCCAAAATCAGCAAAGTGTTGATGGCCATGGAGCAGGGAAGAGTGACGGAATTCGAAGGAAAGAGCCTCGACCAGATACAAATTGAGCCTGAAGGTAATTCTTGATATTATTAAAATATGTATGATTTTTTTCCCCTAAAGGCCACTTGTATTTTTATTTTCTGTGCGACAGGGAGAGCAGTAGAGATCCTCTCACAAACGGACGGGCTAAAAGAAACTTCAAGCGGAGAACCTTCAACCATTCATCCAGATGCACCCCATGGTAGTGGCAGTGCCCCTTCTGGTAAGTGTACCAGGTGGGGGATTACAGCCAGGCTGCTTGGTCCTCACCCTGGGAGTGTATATTGCTAATATATTTTTATTTCTCTCCCTAGAACGTGTAAGAAAGCCATGGTCTGCATCTGAGGTGAAGGCTGTGGAGAAGACCATGACACCTTTCATACAGACTGGAAAGGTCCCTGGGAAGTCTCACTGCCTGGCCTGCATTAATGCCTCACCAGATGACCTTAGACATCGGACATGGAGTGGCATTAAATTCTATGTCAAAAATAGAATCACTGCAATTCGAAAACAAAATCTAAAATAAAATTCCTTTAAAATAGTTGTTTGGTTTCTATTGACTGTTTTGTATTACTTAAAGTCTTGGTAAAAAAAGATTATGTCTATGGGTCCCATTTGACGGCCCTGTCAAAGGGACCCACGGTAACAAAATCTTTACAGTGTAGTTACAAAATGTTAGAAAAAACAACAGTTTATGGCTTTTATTGAAACAGCTGTGTTTTGATATTATTAAAATATGTATGATTTTTTTCCCCTAAAGGCCACTTGTATTTTTATTTTCTGTGCGACAGGGAGAGCAGTAGAGATCCTCTCACAAACGGACGGGCTAAAAGAAACTTCAAGCGGAGAACCTTCAACCATTCATCCAGATGCACCCCATGGTAGTGGCAGTGCCCCTTCTGGTAAGTGTACCAGGTGGGGGATTACAGCCAGGCTGCTTGGTCCTCACCCTGGGAGTGTATATTGCTAATATATTTTTATTTCTCTCCCTAGAACGTGTAAGAAAGCCATGGTCTGCATCTGAGGTGAAGGCTGTGGAGAAGACCATGACACCTTTCATACAGACTGGAAAGGTCCCTGGGAAGTCTCACTGCCTGGCCTGCATTAATGCCTCACCAGATGACCTTAGACATCGGACATGGAGTGGCATTAAATTCTATGTCAAAAATAGAATCACTGCAATTCGAAAACAAAATCTAAAATAAAATTCCTTTAAAATAGTTGTTTGGTTTCTATTGACTGTTTTGTATTACTTAAAGTCTTGGTAAAAAAAGATTATGTCTATGGGTCCCATTCTGAACGGCCCTGTCAAAGGGACCCACCAGGTAACAAAAACGTGTATGTGTGGGTGTGCAGAAAGTGTTTTGAGAAAAAAACCCAAGTGTTTAGGCTGTAGGACCAGGCACACGTTGAAAATCAGACTAAGTGTTTTGAGAAAAAACCTAAGTGTTTAGGCTGTAGGACCAGGCACACTTTGAAAATCAGACTAAGTGTTTTGAGAAAAAACCTAAGTGTTTAGGCTGTAGGACCAGGCACACGTTGAAAATCAGACTAAGTGTTTTGAGAAAAAACCTAAGTGTTTAGGCTGTAGGACCAGGCACACTTCGAAAATCAGACTAAGTGTTTTGAGAAAAAACCTAAGTGTTTAGGCTGTAGGACCAGGCACACGTTGAAAATCAGACTAAGTGTTTTGAGAAAAAAACCTAAGTGTCTAGACTGTAGGACCAGGCACACGTTGAAAATCAGACTAAGTGTTTTGAGAAAAAAACCTAAGTGTTTAGGCTTTGAGGAGCCCGGAAAGCGGGGCTTACTTCCCCCGGGAATGGGCGCCCAGGCCCGGATCTGAGCGGGAGCAAAGCCCGCCCCGGTGGTAGCCCAGGTCCGGAGGAGTGCGGGGGTCCAAACCCCGTGTCTCTAGCCCTCATGGTTCGTTTTCTACGAGCCATGTAAGCCGAGGTTCTCCTCCCCCAGAAGGAGCGCTCTTGGGCGGATGGCAGGCGCGCGGTCCCCCGGTGGTTTCCAAGGGCCATAACTTTCTGGTCCTTTGTCCCCCGCGCGTCAAATTCACACCGCGGGTACCCCTGGACCAGGGGAGTCCCTGGGTCCAGACCGCGAGTCTCTGGGCCTCTGCGTTGATTTTTAACGAATTTCCGGAGGCTCTCCCTGTATTCCCAGGCACACACGCTTTTGGAGCTCAAGCCCCTTTTACGCAGGCCGTAACTTTTTTGTCTTTCATTTCCCATGAGTGAAATTCACGGAGGATGTAGCCCAGGTCCGGAGGAGTGCGTGGGTCCAAACCCCATGTCTCTAGCCCCCGTGGTTCGCCTTCTACGGGCCCGAGAAACCGCCACTTTCTTGACCGAGAATAGGCGCTCGTGAGCGGACACGGCCGCGCTGTCCCCCGGTGGTTTCCAAGGGCCATAACTTTCTGGTCCTTTGTCCCCCGCGCGTCAAATTCACACCGCGGGTACCCCTGGACCAGGGGAGTCCCTGGGTCCAGACCGCGAGTCTCTGGGCCTCTGCGTTGATTTTTAACGAATTTCCGGAGGCTCTCCCTGTATTCCCAGGCACACACGCTTTTGGAGCTCAAGCCCCTTTTACGCAGGCCGTAACTTTTTTGTCTTTCATTTCCCATGAGTGAAATTCACGGAGGATGTAGCCCAGGTCCGGAGGAGTGCGTGGGTCCAAACCCCATGTCTCTAGCCCCCGTGGTTCGCCTTCTACGGGCCCGAGAAACCGCCACTTTCTTGACCGAGAATAGGCGCTCGTGAGCGGACACGGCCGCGCTGTCCCCCGGTGGTTTCCAAGGGCCATAACTTTCTGGTCCTTTGTCCCCCGCGCGTCAAATTCACACCGCGGGTACCCCTGGACCAGGGGAGTCCCTGGGTCCAGACCGCGAGTCTCTGGGCCTCTGCGTTGATTTTTAACGAATTTCCGGAGGCTCTCCCTGTATTCCCAGGCACACACGCTTTTGGAGCTCAAGCCCCTTTTACGCAGGCCGTAACTTTTTTGTCTTTCATTTCCCATGAGTGAAATTCACGGAGGATGTAGCCCAGGTCCGGAGGAGTGCGTGGGTCCAAACCCCATGTCTCTAGCCCCCGTGGTTCGCCTTCTACGGGCCCGAGAAACCGCCACTTTCTTGACCGAGAATAGGCGCTCGTGAGCGGACACGGCCGCGCTGTCCCCCGGTGGTTTCCAAGGGCCATAACTTTCTGGTCCT